TAAAATCTTATCTACTTTGAGTAATTTTTACATAAAGTGAGGTTTAGGTTGAGGTTTCTTTCCTTCTTTCCTTTTATTTATTTTTATTTTTTTGCTTATGGAGATCCGGTTCCTCCAGCACTGCTTGTTGGAAACCGTCTTTCTTCTCTTGAAATGCTTTTTCTTTTGCCTTTAGTCAGAATCGGTCGGGTATATTCATTTCTGTGTTCTTTTTTCTATACCATTGATTTTTATGTCTATTCTTCTACCAATACCGCACTGTCTTACTGTAGCTAAATAATAAACCTTAGTATGAAGTAGAGTTATTCCTCTTATTTTAGTCTTCCTTGTCAAGATTGTCTTAGCTATTCTAGGACCTGTGTCTGTCTGTTCATATACATTTTATAAAAGCTTGTCTAAGTCTAGAAAAAAAGTGGCTGGGATTTTGATCACCATTGCCTTAAACCGATAGATCAGTTTGACATCTGTACTGTGTTGAGTCTTCCCACCCATGAATGTCGTGTATCTCTTCATTCGTTCAGATCTTCTTTGATTTCTTTCATAAACATTTTATAATTTTTAGAACACAGAACCTGTATACATAAATATTTCATATTTTTGAGGCAATTATAAATGGTATGTTCTTATTGTTAGTTTTCACATGTTCCTTGTTAGTGTATGGAAACGTGATTGATTTTTGTGTGTCGATTTTGTATCTTGTGACCTTGTTGACTTATTTCTTAGTTATAGGTTTTCTTTTGGGCTTTTTAAATATTAATATTTCTTAGAATCTCCTAAGTAGAAAACCACGTTATCTGCAAATAGACTTTTTTCTCCAACCATATGCTGTTTATTTCTTTTTCTTGCCTTATTTCAGTGGCTAGAACTTAGTGTGATGCTGAATAAGAGTGGTGGAAGTGGACATCCTCGCCGTGGACTGTAAACTTCCATATAGGTTTTTTTACCCTCCCACTTTTCAGTGCCATTGCCTTGAGCATCAGCTGGTGTTACAATCTTCGTTCTAATCATTGGATGTAATTTAGAAGACTCATGAAAAAGCACAGTCTATCGTATTGACCCATCTCTCTTCTCCTTACCGTCTTCATTCCTCCTCTGATGCTCCAGTGTCCCTTCTTTCATCATTTCCTTTCTGTTTGAAGAACTTCCTTTAGTCTTTAAGATGAGAGCTGTGACAGATTGTTTTAAAGTTTTTCGTCATCTGAGAATGCTTTTATTTCTCCTTTTTTCCTAACAGATAATTTTGCCACATATAGAATTTGCAGTTGACAACTCTTTTAACATTGGAAAAATATCGTGCCAGTTCTTTCTGGCCTCCATGGTTTCAGATGAGAAATCCACTGTTACTCAAATTGTCATGCCCTCTATAGGTAACGTGTTGCTCTCTCTAGCTGCTTTCAAGATTTTTTGTCCTTAGTTTGCCAGAGTTTGACTATCACGTGTCTTGGCATGGATTTCTTGGGGCTTACCCTGTTTGAGATTAGCTCAGCTTCTTTAATCTGTAGGTTTGTATCTTCTACCAAATTTGGGGAGTTTTTAGATATTCTTCAACTTCTCTTTCAGCTACACCCTTTTCTCCCTTCATCCTGGAACTCTGATAAGAAGTGACCTTATTTCTAGGTCAGGAGTCAGAAAACACTGGGTCTGAGTGTCTGTCTTCTGTTGGGTGAGGGCATCAAGACACCCTACTGCTGCGTTGTTCTCCCGGCCCTGGAGTCCCAAAGTATTCTGATTTCTTTTTGCCACCTTTAAGAGTTCTCCTTCAGTCGTCTTTTTTGTAACTTCCATAGTTTATAGTTGTGCTTAGCAGAGAGGGGTAGGGAAAATGGATCAGAGCTATTTTGTCCAGGCCGGAAGTTCCTTGTATATGTTTATCTTTTATCTTTCTTTATACAAAAATTTATTTTGAGTTTTGATTATCAGGATTTATATTTAAAAACATAGAACATGATGAATAATATAAGCTTATATTATCTTGGTAAATTTAGATAAATTTAAACATTTTAGTGTATAAACACAAATCCTAGATTAGCACTTGTGTATCGAATTATATAATGATTATCCGGCAAAGTGTATTTTTTATCACGTGTTAAAAAAACATGTTCTCAAGTCATTTTTTGGTCCATTTTCTTCTCTCACAGAAGGTAAAGATTCTGTTGCCACAGTGGTAGAGTGTTTCAAACTACTTTCTTAAGAGCTGAGTAACTTAACAGTTTGTGTACACAAAATGGGTGTTTGTGTAAATTACTATATTTTTCACATTTATCTTTTAAGTATGGGGGTCAGTGCTCTGAAAAGTAAGTTACTGATAATTGAACTGATGAATGAACATTCGGAAGAAAATGTTTCCTGGCAAAGACACACTTTTAGAAAGTGTGTACATGTGGGAAAGCTGCTATACAAAGACATTTATTACCGAACACTTTTTTAAAATGAAAACTATTATTTGCATGCTAATATAAAAATAAACATATAAAAGTTTAACTTAGAGTTTCTTTTCTCTTTCCTTCCCGATGACAGTTAAAACTTTCAGGCTGTTACACTTTCTGAAAAGAAAAACATCTAAACGATATTGAAAACATGAATCGTTTTTTCCTTATCTCGTCCTTTTCATGGCATATAGCAAATAGCCCGTATATACGCTGCATTTCATGTAAACGTGAAACTTTTTATTATTTAAACTGCAGCTAATTCTGGAAACTGGAATGTTGATACTGCTAGGAACATTAAAGACATAGCATTCAATTGTTTTTATATATATTTTTACGCAAAAAAAACCCCTTGTCTGCAAATAAACTTTGTAAAATGTTAGATTATAACTCAGAAAGAAAAGGGCAGCCATATACCAACCCTTTTCCCAGCTACAGACCTTCAGGAACCTTAGAACTTCTGAGGCTTCGAAGACTTTTGAAGAGCTTATTTTTCAGATAAAGAAAATGAGAGTCAGAGAGAGGGGCTTTGCTGAAATTGCATAGTTAAACCAGGCATCAGTGGTCGAGACAAAATGTTAATAACGTGCCATCTCCGAATCTGCTTTAGTATTTTTCTTCTTGGTGGCATCTTCTTTTTAAACCTTATGTCTATATTTGATAAATAAACAGCCAAAAATTTATGGCAACTCAATGAATATTTGATATTACTCTGTGCTAAAATATTTTATCAATGATGAATTATCTTCATTCTTTTGCATATCCATTCATTATTTCATTCACTCAATAAGTACTTACTATGTATTAACTCTATATCAAGCATGATTTTTAAGTATTGGGGATAAACCAGTGATCAAATAAAAGTCTGTTTTTAAGGAGTTCCCACTCTAATGAAAGAAGAAAAGCAATAAACCAATACATAATATTTCACATACTTGCAAGTGCTCAGAAGGAAAATCAAGCAAGGTGAGGGAGAGAGATGAGTGGGAATGCTGCCTGAGGTAGGGCAGTTCTGAATTTGAAGGAAACGAGGGAATGAGCATACAGATATCTGGAGAAAAAATGTGCTGGGAAGAAACAGACCAAACTTTCTGAGGTAGAAGCGTGTGCGATGGATGCAGAGCACCTAAGGGCCCCAGAGGTTGGAGGTGGTCCAGTCTGGGAACAATGGATGGATGTTTTGAGTTTGAGATTTTCTTTTTAACATTTCTTTATAAATAGGCAAGAAACTATTGCCAAACTCCCGGTTAGACCACCAATTTAAATAATTCAAAGTTTATTTAGCTTATTGCATCCTCTAGTTTCGGAATGTCCTGTTCTGATTATAATTATATGTTGGCTCTGCCACTTGCTAGCCATGTTGCCAGGCAGGTCAGTTTGCGTTCTCATCCGCAACGTGAGGCTAATAATACCTGTGCTGTTCTTCGCACGAGACTCTTGTAAAGGTCAACTGACTTACTGGGTTATACAATTATTTCAAAAACTATAAAATGCTCTGGGTTATTATTGGAAGAATGACATGAGGCTTTAAGGCAGGATTTGAAGGATCTGACTGCTCAACTGTGTGAGCATGACTTCTCATATAATTACCAGTATTTTCATAGTACATAGCAACTTTTGTGAAAATGCAGAATTCATAGTATGACCTTTGAGATGGCTACTTGGGATTAGAGCCAGAATGATCATTAAATTAAATATTTAGGAAACATGCATTAGTGTAGACAATTTAGCAAGTGTATAGGTAATCATCCATTCTCATTATCCTTTTAAGGTCTTATCATCTGCGTCTTAGTTACCAAATTGTAGAGAATTGGTGTCGAGAGAGGCTAGGGAACAAGAGAACCAGCATTTGGCGTTCTTTTTATATTGAAAACTGCCTTTCAACTTAAACATTTTCATCTACAGCGTGTTGGAGATACAATTTGTTTTAGGACTGTCCCAGTATAAAAGAAATATTCAGTTATTCAATGAGAGGGAAAATGAATATTCTTTATTTGACTGAGACTTTTACATTAGAAATGGTAGAGATGTGATTTGTAGCAAAAAAAAAAAGTCATATAATTGCACTTTAGTAAAAGCTTTAATTTCAAATTAGAGAAATTTTCTAGACAACATGAAGACAGCAGTAATAATGCTAAAATGAAAATTAGAAATGCATTAAGATAATTTAAACTAAAAAAAATTCATCTAATGTTGAGTATGGTGAACTCATAATTTTACATAAAACAATTCAGTATTTTGATACAACATATTGAATGCTAATGACTCAGTTCTATGAAAAGCTACTATTTGGATTTATTTTGGTAAATAACTTTAAGAACCTTCCTGTGATTTGTTATAAACAATTTTTAACCTAAAGGTTTGAAATAGGTAAGGCATTGAGCTTTAGAAGGGCTTTTTATTTTGGTGCGGGGGAGCAGGGCGGGAGGAAAACGGGGTATTGTTGAATCTTTCCTCAACACCTTGTAAAATTTTTAAAAAGAGTGTTTAGTCAAAATAATAAAACTTAAATTCTTCTGTAAACCAATTCAGTGGCTTTTGCCACCAGTTTTAAGTGTGTATTTCAACTTCCAGGTGGACATAACCGATATCGAAAATGAAGAGAACCGCTACTCTCTCTTTGTGGAGCTCCTGGAGTCCAGTCATCAAGAGGCTGAGTTCCAGCACTTGGTCTTGCTCTTGCAAGCATGGCCACCTATGAGTCGTGACTATGTGTAAGTGTTCACGTAAAATGAGACTTCTTTCGTGGTTTGGTTTTAAAAATGAGTACCTTCAAATGAGCTAAAGGAAAGAAATATATAAAATTAATATTGGCCTTCAGCGGAAATTAAAATCGCTTGTTTGAAATAGTGGTTTCTTTCCATTTCTTCTTGCCTCTAAGCCCAGATATTTTATTCAGAAATATCAGACAATACTTGATAGTAACCTCTGATTTATGATGTCAACAAAATAATTTTGTTCCATTTTTTTTTTTTAACTGGGAAATTTTTCGACTCCCTTTTAACGTGACTGACAATGCTAACTTGAGAATCCATGTGGACTATTTGTGATAATTCCCATTTATTGCGAACACACAATATTATGTGCAATTTACATAGATGATCAGTTCACTCAACAGACCTCTACAGGAAGGTGATATAATCTCATTTTATAGATGAGTGAATTGAAGTTAAATAACTTGAGGCTTCATATGGCTGATAAGTGGAGGAGGCAGAGTTCTAACCAGCTAGTACCGGCTACCTTCACGGCCCATGCTGTTCCCTCCGCGTCGTGCTGAGCCTGCAGCTGCCACTCATAGCTGCGTGAAGTCGCCATCCTACCCTCGCGCCGTCAGCCAGGGATTCCTTTGGAAGACGTGGCCAGAATTCCTCTGCACACATATGCTGTCTGTCATGAACTGCTGCTCCTTGTTGGCAGAAGAACAGACTTTGTATGCTTTTGTGTTTCAGAAATAAGAAAACTATACGAAGCTCAGGGTGTGATTCCCCTGCTGCTTGTTGCTTCCTCAGTCTGTGCTCCCAAGCTGACCTCAGCTGCGCACTGCCCTTAATGTCATTTGTCCTTCTCTGACCCCAGAATCATAGTCATAACCGTATGACAAAGAAAAACTGGTATCAGGTAGCGAATAGTAAGATGTGCATGCTATTAAGAGCGACATTCCACAGTTGCAAACATCATTCATTAAACCAAGCAACTCTGCAGGGAAAGCACTAAATTACTTTTTTCACGATGGAAAAAACCGAGGCTCAGAATGATTGGGCGGCTACCCTGGAACCACACGACCAGGCTGAGAGTGTTTAAGCGACTTCTGTGAGTCACCCAAGTAGTCAGTCGGGGAGCGTGAATGTGAGCCCACATTGCCGTGGCTTCAAAGCAGCCTGTGCCGTCCAGCATCCTCCGGCTGCCTCATCCTCATGCCGCTGGGGGCTTGTCGGTGACACACAGGCTCCCGTCCTCCGTGCGATGTTCTCTCCTCCGCAGGATAGACCTGGAGGAACGCGTCACCCAGACGATGATTGCAATTTGTCATAAGCATTCGACTTTGAAAAGTGTCGTGGTTTTTTTTTTTCCTATTTTAAAATCTCTTCACAATTGTTAAAGCTTTAATCATTTCCAGCGCCTGGCACTTTTCTCCCTTAGAAGCAGCATAACGAATAATCCTTGGATGAGACTAGCTACGGCGATGCTAACCAGATGTACGGTGGAGAACAAAGAAGGACTGGGGAGTGAAGTTTTGAAAATCTGTCGCTCTTTATATAACACCAAGCAGATGCTCCCTGCAGAGGTGAGTGGATATCTTAAGCGGCTTTGCTGGGGGGTAGCCTTTTCCTTATCCAAACTGTCTTATCAGCTGCTGTACCTGAAGAACATTTAGCTCAAGTTACCTGTAGGCAAAGGCCCGTAATTTGTAACAGATCAGATGAAGAAACACAATGCTGAAAAGCTGCTTGGAGGTGGTTTTCTCTCTGCGAGAGCTCCGAAGCAATATTCCTGTTACAGTCCCAGAGTATTACCCAGTTTTCAGCTCCTGTTGGCTACCCTTGTATGTCTCACTCAGGTGTATGTTCTTGGGGGTCGTGGTAGCTTGTGGGCTGTCTCTGTCTGAAGCGGGGTGGTTGGTGACACAGTAGTAAGCATTAGCTCTCCTCCAGGCAGGTAGGTAACTGAACACTCCGATTTTTATATACTTTTTGACATCATTTTAATGAGAATGCATAGTTGCAATATTCATTCTTTATAAACTTGATAAGAAAGCCACCTCCATTTTGACCTTAGTTCTCTATTTGATCCCATAATTTGACTGTCACAGAGGTATTTGTTTTAATATATAAAATTGTACATTATAAAATAAGCACATATTTATTATAGCCCCCGGCTGTGGATCCAACCTCGGCAATATATTGTTTGAGCAATTTACATGTCTTAAATTTAAGCATTTGGATAATGGCACTCAATTGATTAATTGGTTTTTGAGTTTCTACCACATAGGAGATAAACTTGAAAATAAAATTATAAATATGATTCTCTGAATTCTCATCGTAATCACTCAAGGAAAATATTCTCATTATGAATGCACATTTAATGAATTGTTTTCTGAATGAGGGACTGCCTAAGTATTTTTTGATTAAATTTTAAAATATTTAAAGACGTCTTCCAACCTCCAGAATGGCAAGGTTCTTCTCTAAAATATTTAAAGTACCACCACCAAAAACAACATCCTTTTACTCCAGTGGTACGTGATTGGCTTGTATCAGCTGCTTATTTTCCTGTGATCTGCTCTGCTCTCTTGTGAGCGCCTGGAGGATGGGGACCATGGCTGTGTCATGTCTGTTTCACCCACGGCAGGATTCAAGCACTGATTAGAGTGGGGACTCAACGCAGTTTATTCCCCCACCCCAGAGTAGGGCATATGTAAATAACCTATGCGGTTCATCTTTGCCTTAACATAAACTAAGACCATTGTTAGACTAGGATCAAATGCCAGAAGTGTCCTAGCAGTTCTATTGAATCTCGGTTAGGAAAGCAGTTTAGGATCTGTCGTTACTGTCTCACCGGCTGGTGGTGATAGCAGGAACTGACATTTGCTGGCAGTCTCGGGCTTTCATTTCCATTGTCTCATTTAACCTCCTCTACCACCTGTCAGGAAGTTCCTTGATCTCCATTTGATAGCTGAAGAAATGGAGGCTCTGATGGCAAGGGTCTTGCTCCAGGTCACTGAGGCAGTAGATGGTAGGTCTGACTCTCAAACCAAACCTCTGCGCTTAAATGCTAAAAAACAAATACTTCCAAAGGAGCCATTCTTAACTATACTTGGGGTGTTGCATATTGAATGTCTGTCTTGTGTAGTTGTTTAAGTTTTATGGTCAATTTTTTCCCTTTTCTATGGTACTTCCTTTAAGAATGGTCTATACAGTCTAGAGTCGACATTGTCAGCATTCTAAAATGGGTCCCCAACCCCCGGGCCATGGACAGGTACCATCCATGGCCTCCTGGGAACCGGGCCGCACAGCAGGAGGTGAACGGTGGGCGAGTGAGCGAAGCTTCATCTGTATTTGCAGCCGCTCCCCAGAGCCAGCATCACCGCCTCAGCGCTGCCTCAGATCATCAGGTGTTAGATTCTTATAGGAGCACTGGCCTCTGGTGCCAAAATGGTTGGGGACCGCTGTTCTAAAACAATAAAAAGAACAACACATTTTTCCCTCTATAATGTAAGGGTTTTAGGATCTTTGTTATCACCTAGAGAAGGTGTTTTTTTTTGTTTGTTTGTTTGTTTGTTTTGTTTGTTTTGTTTTTTAAATATCCTCATTGGTTTGGTTTTACTGTAATTAGTTCTAAGGCAAGGAACGTAAGTTAGCTGAGAAACATGGCCACTGTGTCTTTGACCCTGACATACCATTAGCTACGTAATCAAGGTTCGATAACAGTTATGTTACCATCTTTTAGCCACCGGGAATGGGTGATAGCAACCTCTGAGTGTCCCTAGCAACAGTAAGTCCTGTCGGCATTACATTTAAAGTAAGGACATAGAGGAAAAGTGTGTTCTTCTTTCTATTGACCAATATATAATACGTTATGCTTTCTGTTTCTTATTTTTCTAAAAGAAGAGTGGATGGTTAAATGAGAAGTTAAATAGCTATAACAATTTAACTCCTGTGGTTCTACAACTAGGTTGAGCTACTTTGAAAAATAGAGTAATCCATTAAGCTTCTTTGCAGTGGTCCTGTTTGATCTCAGAATTGTCTGCTCATGATTCCTCGGTGCTTTAAGGCGATCAGAATAGATTAAATGCCCATGCATTAGAGTCCTCCCCACATGCGCCTCAGAGGGGCAAGGCCTGTCCTCCCCGTGAGGACTGGGAGCACTGAGGGGCAGGGCACGTCAGACGCGGTGCAGGAGGAGGAGCCCTAGCAATGCGTGAATGGTACCGCTTTACTGCGGACTGGGCCACAGCCTGATCTGTGACATGAGAAAAGCACCGGGCACTCTCGACCTCTGCTTTCTGGTCTCTGAAACAAGGGCCTAGACTGGATGGCCTCACAGGGGACCCCGCTTCTGTCTGCTCTCCGAGGCCTCCGGACCTGTGAGGAGGTGCAGCTGAGGCTGTCTGTTTACTGCTTCATCCGTAGCACGCAATTCACTACCTTCCAAAGTCCATCATCTCTTGGGGTGGGGAAGAAGGTACTGGATTGAACCCCATTTTTAAGTAGGTCATTATTATTTCTCTTTTCCAATTTGCTGATGTAAAAATAATTATTATCAAATGAGTTCTGTTGCCACAGTGACTTTTCTTCATTTTCTTTATGTTGCTTCAGTTTCTTTTAATGGGGTTCACTTATGGATTTTTTTCCTTAGGATGCTGTGATTAAGGGAACTTTGCAAATGTATATACTATTTTTATTGATCACTAAATGTGCTCAGATATGAATTAAAATTGTTACAAAGGAAGGGACATTATGATTACAAAATGGAAAAGTCTTGTTAAGTTTATTTTACCACATTTGGAAATTCCACGATCTAATTTCACAGCTCCATAATATTTAATATCACTGTGGCAGTAACATTAGCCACGACTCACTTTTTTTAATCCTCCACCTGTGGTTGCCCCACTCCCTGGTTTGCGAGGTACGTTTTCTAAGCACACAGGGATTTGGGGAGCTGCAGGAAAGGAACTCAGAGGCATCTTTGTAGGAGATGAGGTTTTCCTGTGCCTTTTGAAGCTGAGACTTAAAGGATAAAGAGGGATTAATCAGACAGAAACAGCAGAGGTTACATCGTGTGCAGAGCCCAGAGATTTGAGCAAGCCTGACACTCATCAGCTGTACCTGCCGTTCAGTACAGTAGCCACTGGCTGGGGGTGGTTCTTAAAATTAAAACAAATTAAGTACGATTGATTAAAATTTAAAATGCAGTTCCTCAGCTGCGCTAGCCACACTCAGATGCACACTAGCCACGTGTGTCTTGCGGCTGCCGTGGTGGCCAGTGCACATTCAGACAGCCCGTCCAGGGGGCACTGTCTGGGGATCAGGATCTGGGGTGCAGGTGGTGGGCGTTGCTGTAACATTCGAGGAGGAGGAGGGTGAAGGAAACAAGTCCTGTGTGGCAGGTGGGCTAGACTGTCATGCACTGGAGTTTGTATTTCATCCTCCCAAATATTTTCTGCAGATTTTGGCACCCCAGGTTAAAAATCTGCATTTCTCTTTGGCCCAGACCCTAAGTGAGACGCCTCTGTGAGTCCCGTGTGCTGTAAGGCACGCAGAGCACTTTACTGAGTTAGAATCCAGAATGTTCGAAGTACACACTTTACAAAACTATTACCCTGCCGATATCATTTGCACACAAGTTTGTGTAGCACAGCCTTCCAGTCTGAAACGTGCAGGCCTTGCTGATGCCCAGCAGACACATGCTCGGTAAGAGAAAGCTTAAAAAAAACTACAGCGAGTGGAATTCTGAAGTGGCCTTTATCCTAAGCTCCAGCTAGGAGCTTCTTCGTGCCATCCTTATTTTATCTATGGTTTATAAGAACGTAAAGGAATTATGAAACTACAAATTTGAGTTTTTTTCTGATGTGCTGGAGGAGCACAAGAGAAAGATCAGTCTGATGGAGGGCGGGATTCACAATTCTTTCTAGAACAACTTTTGCTTTACATAATGAGGTTGCATTCATTGTCTGGCCTTGGTCTGAGAGTTCTGTTCTTTATGTTACAGCTGAAGTCAGGACACTGTGGGAGCATGTGACTCAGCAGGGAGGGGTAGCTTGCAAACTTATTTTTTTATTCTTTTGTCGTAAAGGATTATCATTTGTTATCTTGTATAAAAGCCCGCTCGCTCTCTGATGACTGGTTCAGCTAATATAATGAGCTGAGAATAAAATTCAGATACGTCTGTGCAGATCAAAATACATTTTGATTTTTCTAGACCACAGAGAGTTTTCATGAAGATGGAATATCTTAACTATCAGGTATTCAGTTCACCTTGACATTAGAATTATAAACAGGTTTTTAAATATTTAACTTGCTGATTTTCTTTGTTGCAATGGATGAGAACGAGATACGTGATATTAACAATTGATAATAGTTCTTGTTTTTTAAGCATCTAGTATATGTTGAGCATTGTATGTTGTTATTCATTAACTCTTTATCACACCCACATCCACACACACACACACACACACACAACACTGCAAAGTAGATATAATTACCTCCATTTTACTTATGAGGAAACCAGGGCTTTGCGAGTTGACAATATCTGACAGTCCTGTATCCATCCAGTGGGATATCGTGCAGCCATTAAAAGCAACATCATAGACGGATGAATGTCTGAGAGCTTGGAAAGATGTTTACAAAATACTGTGACATGAGCAAAGCAGGCACCAAACAGTAAATCAGCGTGATCCCATGTGTGCTTTACACACACACACACATGCACGCGCACACGCTCAGGGCGCGGGGAAGGCAGTGTGGGGAGGCAGCGGACCGCGCCGGGGTGCGAGGGGCGGGGCTCCCTGCCGTCCCACTCACACTCGCGCTTGTGGTTTCAGGGCGTGAAGGAGCTGAGTGCGCTGCTCTGGAACCAGTCCCTCCTGCTGCCATCCCTGAAACTGCTCCTCGAAGGCCAGGACGAGACCCTCCATGCCGTGGCCCTGGAGCACGTCGCCAGCGTGGCCGAGGTATTCCCAGCGGAATTCTCTGTTTTATGTTTCAGAGAAATGAATGAATATTGTCGTTCTCTTAAGTAATATCCATGATTCGTTTTAGACTGTTTTATCGACAGTATTTTCGGACCACAATTGCTATTCCTGTTTTGCCTAAGAAGTAGATAATTTGTTTATTTTACAAACATTTACCAAACAACTCTGGTTTACAAATATTTACTAAACCAGATTCTCTGTCTGGGTCCAGAGAATACAGATCTAAATAGCGAAGCAGTTTCTCCGGAGAAGTAGTGTGTTAGTCTCTTTAGGAAAATGTCTCAGCAGCCCAGGACTCCGGGGGACTAGTGCTTGCCACTTGGACTTTGGGGTGGAGGAACTCTTAGCATCAGTCAGGTTTTCTGTGCCTGGATGTGTGTTTGCTTATCTGCCAATTAATTAACGGTGAGAAGGTGCCCGCAAGTCCTGTTTACTGGCACCATCTGAGATCTCAAGCTCTCACTTCCTGTGGCCACCTACACCACCACTGCAGTGACATCTGGGCTTGAGGGATGATGTGGTAAAGACAGTGCTCGCCATTTCTGCGTCAGGGCTCGTTACTTTGTTATGATTAAGGAAGAAACTCACTCTTCCCTTTTTAAATTTTACACTTTAGAATCCGATAGCTCAGGGTTGTGTTTTAATGAATTCGCATTGTATGATTCTTACTGAAACCCCTCTGTAGGGAGATCATTCTTTCATTTGAAGTATTTGTGTGTATAACAAAAATGTAAGAGGTTATCTTCCAGGGATCAGAGAGAGGAGGAGAAGCCTAGAGCAGAGGTACATGTTTGCCTCACAAGACAGCGAAGAGATTAATGAAAATACAGTTGTATTGCTGACGACAGAGATACGTTCTTAGAAACGCATCGTTAGGCCATTTCGTCAGTGCGTGGGCATCATAGTGTGATCTTACGCAGCTCTAGATCATCTAGCCTACTACACACCTGGGCTGTGTGGCACAGCCTGCTGCTCCCGGGCCACAAGCCTGTACAGCATGTTACTGTACCGGACACGTGTAGGCAACTGTAACACAATGCTAAGTATTTGTGTATCTAAACATATCTAAGCATAGAAAGGATACAGTAAAAAAATGATATAAAAGATAAAAAATGGTTTACTTATATAGGACACTTGTCATGAGTCAAGCTGGCAAGACTCGAATTTTCTCTAGGAGAGTCAGTGAGTGTGTGGGGAGTGGATATGAAGGCATAGGACATCACTGTCCACTACTGTAGACTTTATATACTTTATAAACGCTGCGCATAGGCTGTACTATATTTATAAAACAATATGAGACTAATCAAGCATAAGGGAAAACGATGTAATCAAGAGATGCAGTAAACACGAGATGTATGAGGCTTCTGCTGGTGTAACATGGTGTCTGGTTTTACGGCAAAGTTTTTTTTTTTAACAAGTTCAGAGAGCACACTCTAAATAACGATAAAAAGTATAGTAAATACATAAACCAGTAACATAGTCATTTATCATATTATTGACAATTATGTACGGCACATAATTGTATGTCCTGTACTTTTATATGGCTGGCAGTGCTTTAAGTTCGTTTACAGCTGCAGCACCACAAACATGTGAGTAAAGCGTTGGTCTGTGGCTTTGCGATGAGTGTCATGTCACTAGGCGATAGGACTTTTTCAGCTGCATTATAACCTCATGGGACCACCTGTGTTTGTGGACCATCGTTGACTGAAATGCTGTTATGTGTGCACGACTGTATGTCGTAGACATAAAATTTTGTTAATGACAAAGGATACGGAAAGTGATGTATACGGTTACAAAAAACGAACGTACTTGCATTTGGAAACCGTCGTAATGAACAAAATGAGAAAAATCTAATGCCCGTCTTCATTTCGATATGTTTTTGAAATACATAAAGCTTCTGTAAAGACTTTTGTGGGTTCCCTTCATCGTCACTGATAATCGATCATGGCAGGGGCCTCTCTGGGAGCTAGACTGAAGAAGGAACTTGCGAGATTTGTCTATTTGTGCTAAAGTATAAGTAATGTTGGGAATTTACAAGAAACGAAGAAGTACAGTGAGATTTTTTACTTACCTTATTTTTTTATTGTACATTCAATAATTAGAAGAAAGGGAAAACTGAAGAAAATCAGGCTGCAGATTTTCGGCGCTTTTTTTTCCCTCGCCACCGTCCTGCACCGTATGAGTGCCTCTGCGCAGGCGTGTTCACTGGGCCTCTTGGAGGACGAAACAGTGACATATTACACGTTGCCTTTTGTATTCGCTGTGCACAGAGCCGTCTCGATCCACTCCTGAATGCCACAGGCTTGGATGTCAGTTTTCGTTTTAAGATGCTCTATCTCAAATGCCATCTGTCAGAACTGGAAGTAGCACTGGGGCTCCCTAACTGCTAACTAGTCTTGCTACCCTCTCCACACACACAATTAAAAGAAGAAATCATGTGGGGACACTGCAACCCCAAGTAGTCTTTTAAATGACACTAATTTGACTCCGTAACATTTTCACCTGCACGTTTGATGGGCAGCGTTGTGCTGAAACTCTGTGATTTCGAACAGCCCTGCAAACGGCGGGTGGTTTGCCAGGGGCTGTGATGATGACGCCCCAAACCTCTGTGGCCTTCAGATGCAGGGGTGCGGAGTGCTGAGACGAGTCACTTACCTGCTGCTGAGACCCTTTAGGGATCCATTCATGCGACTTAATTGTAACGTCTTCACACGAAGCCGAGTAGTCACACTCAGTAGTCACACTGAGTAGTCACATGTGGCAACCGTGTGGCCTTAAAATATGTTCACGGAATTACTGAGCATCTTCAGCCCTTTTGCATCCTCAAAGAGCAAAAGTTTTGCAGTTTTCCAGTTTTTAAATGTTTTTTTAAACTTTTTATTTCGAGGTCATTTTATATTCACGTTCGGTTGTAGGAAATAATACCCCTCTCTCTTTCGTGTCCCTCACTTCCCCCCACGGGTGGCACCTGCATCCTTACTGTAAAATGCTGCAGCTGGGACTGACCTTGGTGCAGTCTCGGGCCGTACTCAGAGTTCACGTTTTACACGCACTCATCAGTGTGTAAGTTCTGTGCCGTATCTTCACGTGTGGATTTGTCGTCCCCAGCACTGTCCTCAAGGGGCAGTGTCTTTTCATCATTAGAAGGATCCCTCGTGCTACCCTTTACAGCCACGGCCACCTTCTCTCTCCCCCACCCACCCCGCAACCAGTGGCAACTGTTATTCTGTTCTCTATCTCTGTAATTTTGTCATTTCGAGAATGCTATATGAATGAAATAAGACATTACTATAACGTACCATTAGTTCTCCCAGCACTATCAAAAGGTCACGTTACACGTTCTAAGGGAAGAATTTCAGTGGGCCTCTTTGCAGGACTCCTGTCCAGCTGTTTTTAAATCATACTTGATATTGCGGTGGAAAACGTAAAACGTTTGCTTTCTTTTTTTGTTTTTATTTTGCTACTCACTCTGTTCATTTGTAGGGTGCTGAGTTCATCAATAACTTCAGTTCCCCCCCCTTGTTGGTTGGGTGGTTCCTGTTGACATTAAAAGAAAAAACATCTGGCAAAGGGGCTCCTCTGACAGGTGCCGCTCCCCACAGTGCGTGGGTCCAGGTGGAGAGACACCTCACTTGCCTGCTGGGAGCGTGTGTGGTTTTGCCAGCTTTTCAGGTGTTTGCAGTATAAAGGATCCCGCTTCAGTGCCGATGCCAGCACTTACTGGCTTGTTCTGCAACAGCGGTACGCCCTTCTCTGAGCTTTTCTGAAATCGCAAACCTCTGGTATTGAGTCACCTTTTACAGATGGCCAGCGGCCTTTTTCCTTGGCCAGACATAGAAATTCCTTCTTCGAGATTATTTTGTTGATGAATAATTAAAACCCTTGTTTGGCATGAACTGCTAGGTAATCCTCTCCGTCAGCCTTGGGGGCTTTAGAGCTCACATTCAAAACCGTGTTCTCTCCAAGAGGGTCTCCCTGCTGGTGAGTCTGAAGCTCATCTCTGGCCTGTCTTCTACCAAGCGACATCTCTTGACTCATTTTATCAAAGGAAGCAGATGTATATTTGTAACAGTTTGTGCCCTGAAAATTCCCCATTTCCCAACGCCAGATTCGTGGTGGCTTTTGCTCTACATGGCGCCCTCCTCAGGTTCTGCCCAATGCCTCACCCCACATCCCAGGGACTGTCCCGGATGATGGGTGGTTCGTGGGGTTATGAAGGGAACCGTAAGACCTTTAGCACTTGATCAAGGGTTTCTCCCTGACGCTACTAGTAACTTCCATCTTCAAGCACCAACTCTTTGCCGGGTGTTGTCATAGGCCCATCCTCGTTTTATGTTATGGTCCTGTGAGAAGGTGTCATCCCGGCTTCACAGATGGAAGCACTGAGACTCAGAGGTCACACGGCCGATAAGCAGCCAGAGCTGCAATTCACACCCTGGATCCAGCTTTCAAAGTCTGTGCTCAACCATACGGCTTCTCTTAACGCAACGAGGTGAGATATGTTATATTGAAAAAAGGTTATCTCTACCGAGAATGAAATCGCTGAAAGCGTCTTGAACTGTATAATATTAGGTCTGAAAAAGACGAAGGGCAGAGCTGGCCTAGCAGCTTGCCCAGGGTTGGGTGACTATGTCACCTGGGCCCTGGTCAAGCATGGCTGAGGGTGGAGAGCCAACTGGGCGCTCGATGCCATTTTTTAAATAGACCTCTTGGCAGGAGAGCAACCCCGGAGTGAAGGCTGCGCCCTGTACCTCGGACGTGGCGGTCACAGCCCCACCCTGCGGAGCTGCTCGGGATCCATGGCTTCCACACGACAGCCTTGCACATTTTAATAAATGTGATTCTCATCTCCTTTGATCTTGTCACGAAGCCACCAGGACCTCCTTAGGCGTCACTCACAGAAACGGTGTCTAGGTGGGAGGGAGAGCCTGGGAGGTTCTCGGAAAAGCGTGTTTGGATTAACAGTATATAAAACCATG